TATTTGGGATTCCTGTTATTCATTTTCATGGCAGCCTCTTTTTTTACCCCTTAGTAGAGGAAACAGCTTTAATGTTCAGGCATCCATCAGATTTTAGCCATAAAATACTGATATGGTGAGGTAGAGAGGGCAAAGGAAGACAGCATATATGACAGGCAGGTTAAAATAGCCCTATTAAAAATGAAATCTTCAGTCAAAACTAGTGTTTAATCAATATGATCTACAAAGTGGCTGAATTCTAGTGTATTCTGTTGCATTTTCCCCATGCCATCAGCTGCAACACTCCATAGATATTCACTGGAGATGCCTAACGCACAAGCTGTGCAACACCCAGCAGCAGTGCTTTGACTTACTGGTTCCTGTTCAGGTGTCCCAAGTCTATGGATCACTGTCCATGGCTGCAATTTATTGTGAGTGCGCCAAGCAGCCACAAACATTACCAATGGTAATTTCACAGTCTTCTGGCCATGTAATCTCTGTAGATCAAGTATATCTGTGACTGGGTAGGGGGCTCAGCTGCCTGTGCTAGTACAAGAACAGGTGGCATCTGCAAAATCCAGCTGAACTGCAGATTGCATCAGGCTGGATAAGTCATAGTCATCTTTAATTTCCATTAAAAGGTTCAAGTCAGAGGTGTCTCATTATCTGAACACAGTAGATGTTTAAGACTATGTTAGTAGAATAATTTTAAAACCCTTTTTTAAAAAGAACATGAAAATCTAGAGTACTACTGATGGCATTATTTCAGTTGGGAATTTAGAGTTGTTATGAATGGATGCTTTACTTGAATATATAAGACTATTTTTCTAGAATCACAACTTCATTTTGGGTCCCAATGGGGAGAAAAAATGGAGTCTAAATAAAGTAAAATAGATAAATAAATACACTGCCAACATATAACGATGCTTACTTTAACGGGGTGGTGATATTCTTGATTTAATTTTATAGCATATCAGCTTAAGAAGTGCCAGCCTCCACCAGCAGTTCCACAAGCTGACTTGCTTACAGAAGACGATGATTTTGAAATAGGTAATAATTGATATGTGTTTGCCACAGCTACAGACTTGTTCTCTGTTCATACTTTGCCTATGTTATATAATTCCACCTCATATCTTGCCTGTTCTTGAAATGTTCTTGTTTAGAAAGGCAGCCATACATGAAATTTCAGTAGTTCTGAGGGTTACATGTTCCCAAACCACACATAGAAACTTAACTTTCTGAATGCACTCCAATTTTTACAAAGAATTTTTGAAACTTTAAAAAAATCACATTTTTTGTTGTTCAGTCGCACAGTCGAGTCCGACTCTTCGCGACCCCATGGACAAGATCTCGCCAGGCCCTCCTGTTTTCCGCCGTCCTCTGAAGTTTGCATAGTTTACCAGATAAAAAGTGTTACCTGCTGACAGCCAAACAATATCCCCAATTTTCTGTAACACAAGTGCATTGTTTCCACAAAGACATGAAGAATTTGGACTTTTTATAACACCTTCCTTTCAATTTTTGGCGGGAGATTTATAGGGGTAGTGTAGAGATAAATAGGGTTGGATCCTATGCATTTCCTCCATGCACCGTTCTCTTCAGGCACAGCGGAACCTATCTGCTGCCATGGACCTGCTTTCTCTTGCCCTAGACACTTCTGCTTTCACCAGGCCATTGTCTTTCATTGTGCTGCAAAGTGCCTAGTGTGAGAGGAAGGCATCCAGCAATGGAAGACTGCTTTCACAGGGCACAGGAGAATCCCCTGCACAGGGAAAGTAAAGGACCCAAGCCATAGTTGTTAGTGTAGCTTAAAGAAGTACATATAGCAATTAAAAGAGCTCAGTCATTATGGCACAGACCAATATAACCTGCTAATGTGATATGTGCCACCAATGACCGGCCAGTTTTTACGCAGGCCAAACTAGGGATGCTGCAAACTTTGGGGCCAGCATGTTCAACAGGCAAATTTACAGCATGTTCAACAGGCAAATTTACAGCATGTTCAACAGGCTGCGGTGGCTCAGTAGTTAAGATACTGAACTGCAGACCAGAAGGTCAGTAGTTCAGCAGTTCGAGACCCGAGTGCCACATGACCACAGAAACATCTTTGGACAGCGTTGTCTCTTCGGCTTGGAAACGGAGATGAGCACCGCACCCAAGAGTCAGATTTGACTGGCTTTTGAGCAAGGGAAACCTTTACCTTACTGACAGTCAGACATTGCCTGGTTGCTGGGTCTGTTCAGCTTGGCACGAAATGACTTAAAAGCCTGCCGAACAGGTTCTCATTTGTCTTTTGCAAAACTGGCATGCATGAAAACAGATCAGCAGCCATTAATGTCACTAGACATTTAAAATGGCAATAAGCACCCACACGAAATGACTTAAAAGCCTGCCGAACAGGTTCTCATTTGTCTTTTGCAAAGCTGGCATGCATGAAAACAGATCAGCAACCATTAATGTCACTAAGGACTACTTAATAAAACACAGAACAGAAGGTTTTTTTAAAAAAAACCCAACCCCACACAGTATCTGTTTGAACAATTGTCTGCCAAATAGAGCAGTGGTACAGCAAGGATGAGGAGGATGAGGAGGACTCAAGTGTGTGAGGAAGTGCAGGCATTAAAAGCCAGCAGCAGTGTAGTGCACTATTAGGAGGAAATAGGGTGAAACAATATACTTTACAGCCATAAACAGATTTTATTTATTTTATTTTATTAGATTTCTAGTCCACCCTCCCTTGCACAGACAACAGCCTATTGCTCCCTGCACAGTTGGTTCCCTGTTTGCAAATGGCTAACAGGGCATGAGCTGAATTGTCAGGTGTTCAAGCTTCTCTAGGCCAAACAAGAGAATAAATGGGCACATTAGACATTTAAAATGGCAATAAGCACCCAGTGGGTAGATATGTCGACATTGCTGACTTTCTGTAATCAATAGCGAAATTTCCATATTTTACAAAAATAAGTTTTAAAGGGATATTCCAATGCCAGTGACTGTCAGGAACTTTAGGCAGATAACACCACACACTCAGGCTTCTTCAGAAGATAACTGTTTAATTGGTAATTCCAGTACTAAAGTAACTCGTGTACAGCTTGTGTTAGGAATGGCCTGTAATATGATGGCCACTGACTTATAGGATATTCAAACTGCCCCTCCCAGTTGCAAAAGCCAATAGTTGGTTTCTGCGCGCGGGGACAAAAGCTAGCAAGCAAGCATTTAGCGCCTAAACTGTTTCCCAGGCCTGGTGATTTACAGACAGAATACCCACCAAGGTCATTTCTTCAAATAGCCATCTGCGGGAGACAAGGAAGAGCTGATAAGGCAGAGGAGTGAACCCCCTCCACATTCCAGCTCTGTGACAGGGCTTCCTGACATTGACTGAGTTTTAAATAATTTCTAAATCAGATGAATTAATCAACACAAAATTTAGCTTATCATGCGAGAAAATTGAAGTTTGCTTACTTCTTTAATGCTTGCTAAAGGTCTGTGATCCCAGATACCATGGCTGATTTTATAATGTTCTATAATTGCCTTCGTTCTTCCCATCCCTAATTACTGCTACTTAATAACTAGTTCCGTTTTTAAGGAATGAAGATGTTAGCCCTACCTGTTCCCCCATGTATCACCACAAAATTTTGTCACTATTCCTGATTCTTTACAGATGTAAGACACCTGGATAGCAAGTTAAAGCAAACTCTTATTGTGTATACCTATTCATTTATTTTGAACACTTTTATACCACCACTAGGAACCTGCCTGAGGAGGCTTACAAAATAAAAATAATCATAAAGCATTAAAATACCTTAATTGAAATCCTGCATTAAAAAACCCAGCACAAGGCATTTGGGCCTTTAAAGGTAAGAACCAGCACTTTAAATTGTGCCAGGAAACAAATGGAAAGCTAGTGCAGAACTTTCAGCATTGGGCCGATAAGATCCCTTGTCTCCTGCTCCTGACAATAGTCTTGCTGCTTCATTATGGACAAGCTGAAGTTTTCAAAGGTAGCCCCACAAAAAGTACAGTACAGTTATCTAACCAGAGCTCATCAGTGCATAAATCACTGTGGCCTTGGAGGAGATTTGGGCCTCCAACTGTAGGCCAGGATTTAGCAGTACCCTCAAGTTATGAACGTGTTTCTTCAGGTAGAATACAACCCTCTCCAAGACAGACTGACTTCTCAGTCCTCACAGCTTTGTTATTGACCAGTGGCACCTCAACCTTGTCTGGATTTAGTTTCAATTTACAGGCCCTCATCCATCCCATTTCCAGGCACTTTTTCAGGAGTTCCACAGACCCACCTTACTCAGCTGTGAAGGAGAAGCAGTGCTGGGTATCACTGCATATTGGTGGCACCTCATTCTAAATCCCCTGATGATTTCTTTCAGCTGTTTCATGTAGATGTTAAATAGCATAGGGGACAAGATGGAACCCCATGGGGCCAAGCAGCAGTCCCTCAGCACCACCTTCTGGAACTGGCCAGTCAAGTAAGAGTAGAACCACCAAAGCACAGTACTCCCCACTCACAACTCAGCCAGCCTCTCCAGAAGGTTACCATGGTCAATGGTACTGAACATCATAGATAATTGCAATTATCTACACACATTGGGTTGGATATAAACAGTACAGTGCTGATTTTTACTTAGTTGGAAGAGAGTCATTGGGTCTAACCCATTCCGTATGTGTATTCTTCACTGCAGTGCATTTTGTTTTGTTTATGGTTTCTCCATTGCATTTGTATGTGCTCATATGCAGGATATTTGGGGGGGGGATTTTAAAAACTGCCCTAAATTGATCACTTTATGCATTAAAATCTAGATAAGAGGAAAACAATGTAAGTCACTTTGGGGAGGAAAGTGGGAAATAAATGAGTGAATGCATAAACATAACCCATTTTGTTCCCTTATCATATAGTACACAAGCAAGTAACTTCAGTTTTGTTTACTTGGTAAAAACCCCAAAACTTAAATACATTAATATGTAAATAGAACTTTAAAGCAAAGCATACCTCTTCTGAAGTACTCTTGCAGTGGTATCCTAAAAAGAGTTATACCCTTCTAAATCCATTAAGGTCAGTGGTATTAGATGAGTTTAGGTCTGCTTAGGATGGCAGTGTTAGTACTGTAAAATCTCCAAACTGTGGGTGGGGGGAACACAAGCAAAACCAACCATTTAGTTAAAACAAAACTCTAGCTATGAAACTACACTATTGGGGAATTTCTTTCCCACTCTGCATCAGGAGCCTTCGATACATATGACCAACCATGTGAGAACTGTGAGGAATCCTTATTCTTTGATAAAGACCCCTACCATGTACAAGAAAAAAAATAACACTACCTTTGTAGCAATAGGTACAGTCAGGCAAACAGGTGTAGAAAACCCTAGTATGTGGTAAGATTATTTTAATTCACTTTTAAGTTCCTACAGATTTTTATACATAGATTTTTTTCCTTCTATCTCATATATATTATATGTATTATGCATTTTTCAGGGGACTTTGCCAAGTACAAATGCCACCCTGGCTACACCTTGGTTGGAAATGACATGATGTTCTGTAAGTTAAAAAAACAACTCCAATTTGAGGGTTCCCCTCCATTTTGTGAAGGTATGTATGAAGAGGAATTAAGATATTTTCCTTTGTCTTATTTTATATTTAAATGTTGCTTTAAAACAAATTAATGAAAAATAGATATCATGAGAAAGCAATGAAGATTGTTTTCTAGTGTTCTGTATGAAAGCATTTTTAATTTAAAAACATCAGAATCTGAAATTACGGATTTAATATGTGCAAAGGATATATGCACTAATCTTTAAAATCAATTTTACCGATGTTTTTTTTAATTGAAAAAGAAATGGAGGAAAGGAAAACATTAGCCATAAATGGGAAATACTCACATATACAAAGTTTTTACATGACTTCCATCACTCTATTCCTAAGGAAAATATCAGGGTGTTAATTTGGGCAAATGAGGGACATTTTAACTATGGGACAATCAAACTTACACATTATTTCAGAATAAACAACACTGTAGACAAAACACTGTGGTTCTATTACCTTACACAAATATCAGAACTGTGGACATTTGGAGGCACTTGGAAACTAAATGGAGCCTATGAAATAATTCCAGCTTCCTTATTGATGGCAGACGTCTTTGTTTTTAAGTCTTTCATCTTAAATAAAATGTAGCATATAACAGAGAGCACCAGTTCAGGGAAAAGGCCACAGCCATAGCATTCTTGATTTATGAGGAGGACAAAGCAATTTTTTATTGCAGAGCAAATGTTTTAAAAGCACATTCTACATGTCTTTATTATAGGGACCCCAGCATGTACATGGTGTCGCATGCATATACTCATTTGTTACAAGGGCTGGATCTGACATATATGTTACTTTTCATGCCGAGCCATGTGTGCCATAAAATGTAATGCCAGGTACCGGAGATTTAACTTTATAAATCCTTTTAACTATATTCTTTTTTTACTCAAAATACAAACAAAAGCAATTCATTCCAGCAGTTAAAGCAATTGATTTACTGGGGAATCCACAAAAGTCCCAATAAACATATTTAATCATATGCAAGACTACTTTTTTCCAAGGAATACCTTCAAAGGGGTGGTATCTTATATTTCCATACAAATTCATTAGTTGTTGTATATATAGCATGTTTAGGAGACAAGTCATCTTCCTTGTAAATAAATAAGGTAGTTTTTCAGCAGCACCCCCTCATACTTGCAGCCTCAGCAGCCGAGCATGGCTACAGTATATCTGTCTGTCTCTCTGTTTCCTCTGTTCTCCTGTTCTACCTCTAAGTATCTCGAAGAGGCACACTGGACTCCCTCCTCCACTACCCAATCCCCACCACCACCACCAACCCTGTGAGGTGGTCCATGCTGAGTGCCCCAGGTGACCAAGATGACAGGTTCCTGTCTCAGGAGGAGGGGGTTTAACCTGGCCCACCACCACCAGTTCTCATCCCTCCTGCATTTCTCCATGAAGCGGTGGGGCCAAGGGGAAGGCCTGATGGAGAAGCTTTTTCTGAAACCTCCAAGGGGTCCTCCTGTGGCTCCTTTTCCTTCATGGACTGAGAACAAGTGGGTGGAGAAGGAAGGTCGTCATCCCCCACCTTCCCTGACACTCACTCTGCCTCCCAGCTCCATGACTGTTCAGACATGTAGTGGTGACGGTGGCACCCTACCCCTTTTCCCTTTCACTCCTCCACTAGCATCCAAGGCTGGGAGGTCTTTCAACTCAGAGCAACATGCACAGAACAGCCCAGTTGCTTTCCAATCCACATGCTGGTCCTCCTTCTCCTCTTTCCATTGCCAACCCCATCCCTTTGTTGCCTAACTGCTGCTCCATGTGCCTGCTCTTGTCAAAACCCCCCCACACACACAGTTGCTGTTTGGTGTGGTGGTGGCAACACTGGCCACTTAGCTCTGCCACCCATGTAGTGGCTGCAGTCAGAGGAGGAAGGAGGGGAAAAGTACCATGCCTCCTCTTTCTCCACCTTCACCATCATTCCCCCCACAAACACTATTTAACCTCGGTCTCATAGTCCTGCCCCCTAACATTTTCCTATTTTTTTGACAGCTTTGGCCACACACTTGTTGTCTGCTCACCTGTTCCCCTCCCCCGGGTAGTCAGTTGCATGCAACAGTTGCTTGCAGGCCAGATAAGAGCCTTGGATGGGCTGGTTCCAGCCCCTGGGCCGTATGTTTGACACCCCTGCTTTAAATTATTGTCATGGTGTATTATTGCTATGCTTTAGAGGGAAAACTATTTGAAGAGGAAAAGTAGTACAGCATAATAAGCATTTGAGACCATGCCTATATGACACAGTTTGTATCTAGAGCAAAATAAAATTTTCTTAAATAAGACAGCAACAGGGACAACATAAAAAACCTTACACACTGAGCCGTGAGAGATTCCCCCCCCCTCAATTTGATCTGTTCATCCCACCTAGTGTTATTCAGTGTTATTGTGAGCACCGGGCAGAAAGTAAACTCATGCCAGCCCACTGTGTGACCACAGTTTAAAAAACCCAAACCCTTAAGTGGCGGAATAGGCCTGCTCTGACCTGCAGGCCCTATTCTACCCTGCCCTTCAAGGTTTTCCCAACTCCCAGAGAGGCCTTCCTTTCACTCTCAGGTAACCCGCCACCATCACCTGACCTTTGTAAAGAATTGACTGCTGGGAGGATCAGGAATCCCAGCTTCGCTTCCAAGATCTGAGGCCTTGCCTCTGTGTCTTCTGCTGCCCAGTGCCTGATCACAGTTACTGCCTTGTGTGCCCCTGGAAGAATAGCTGCTTGCCAACTGCTGGCCTTCTCCCTGGTGCTCCTTTTACATTAGTGTGTTCAAGATGGTGGAGATCTATGTGGTACAGAGAACTACTACCAGCATCGAAAGTCACAAACTATTTATTAAAAAGAAAATGTTCACAACCATACGTTTAGCACAGCACCAGACTGAGCAAGGAATTCAGAAGAAATGGGGTAAATGCATATTCTCTGTCCCTCTCTCTATACATGCCCTATCAGTTGTTAAAATTAAAATTAAAATCATATCCACATCTTCCTTTTCTAGTGCTTTTTTTCATTCCAAGACATATATTGTTTACCTGCTCTCATCATTGCTGCTTTTCATTGGGAAATGTTGATTCTCATATTTATAAAAAATAAACCTTGTATGTGTTTGTAAAGTCCCATCAAGACATAGAGGACTTATGGTGACCCCATAGGATTTTGAAGGCAAGTTATTAAGCAGATGTGGTTTGCCAGTGCCTTCCTCTGTTGTCTTTCTTGGGGATCTCTCATCCAAATACCAACTCTGCTTAGCTTCAGAGATATGACAAGATCAGGCTATACTGTGCCATTCCACATCTCAAAACATTTGAGCCAATTGGATGAACAACATTTTTGACTGTTTGAAGCACAGTACAATATAACTAGCTAATTCATAGCATTCCCCACACCATTCAAAGTGTCTCTGACAAGGTGAGAAAGAACAGCACTCAGCCATGGGACCAGTGTGTCAAAGAAGATGGCAAGGGGGAGAAAAAGTATTCAAGTTGTATTTGCTTACCTTTTAAACACTAAAATGTGTGCAGACACATCCAGAAAAAATCATTTAATCAGTAGAAGTGTATTTTAATTTTTTTCCATTCTATATTTTTTGTCCCCGAAAGAAGGGCTGTTTCCTTTTTATTATTTGGGTTCTTTTGATAAGAAGCAAGGTTCTTTTCTACAACACACTTTACTTATTAATGCCTGATAAATTCCAGTCTTCTAGATGCAGCCAGTTTTTGTCACACTTCAATTCATTTCAATTTGTCTCTCACCTCCCCAGCATTAACTTTCACGTTATGTCAGTCATACTTCCCCTTGCTGTAACTACAAAGTATCTCATTTATTTCTGACTCCTAAAATAATCTTTGGCTTTCACAAATACACTTGTAACCTATGTACCCATACAAGAATAAATGTGATGTACTGTTCTGAGATTAAACAAGAGTTACCTGTGATGGGATTTTGTTTCCTGGTTCCTACGATTGTGACAAAATCCAGGTTTATATTTTGCTAAAAGGAGTCAGAAGAAGTAATTAGCAAGTTGTGTGTGGTCCTACAGAAAGATATGAGAATAAAGAAGGGAATGTGGGCCTGTGGTTTTGATGGATATTTTGATGCAGGCCAGTTACAGGGAGGATTGTCCTTCTAATGAAGTGCAAGCTTTTGAGACAAACACCTGGGAAATGGAGCAGAAAAAATGACAGATTATGGGAAGCAGTGTGTGCAGCGCTCTCCTTACACAGCTATTGGAAGAAGATTGGACAACAACACCCCCCTAACAAAACAAAACCTAACCTCCACGGTGGCTGTGAGCATCCCAGCTCCTCTCCTACACCTGACAGGCAGCTGTCTGTCCAGTGTAGGATGGGGAGGGGGGGAGGAGTATTAGAAGCCACTATGGAGGCAGGGCTGGCAGGATCACTAAGGCGTTACTCCTGGGGCAGGCTCTCTGTCTTGTGTAGGAGGGGGAGGGGGAGGATTATTAGAAGCCACTGTCGGGGTGGGGCTGCACCCGACACACAACTGCCTGTTAGGTGTAGGAGGTGGGGGGAGTGTGTTGGAAGCCATCGGAGAAACTGGGCCAGCAGCATTACTGAACCTCACAGGTGCTTGTTGGCCACTCCCGATTTCCTCAACTGTCATTAGCTATCTGCAGTCCCCTGTAACTGTTGTGTTTTTTTTTTACCTCAGAACACTGAGCTCTGCAGCTGACCAATGAGAGAGTGGGGGGGGATGCAGGGAGAGACTGCCTGGCAGCCGCATAGGAATCAGTGGGGGGAGCACATTTTTCCGAATTTGGTGTCTCTTGTGTCAGCAGTTTGGTCTGGGCGTTGATTTTAAAGGGAGGGGACTTTCTTTTATATATATTTATATATATGTATGTATATATAACTTATAATTTTGTTTTGGACATTGTTTCCTGGCATTTCAAACAACAGTGCTTATACAAAACGAACAGGTCTTTCTTGGGGACCTGCAGCTGGGAGGCAGGCTGTAGATAGGCAGTACAAAACGGCAGGACAAAGTCAGGCAGAACTTCTGGGTAGTGTGTCAGAAATTAACCTGCTCTGAACAATCAAAGGCAGGAGCCAGGACAGAGATAAGGCCAAGTGGAACACTGTTGGGTCCTCTAGTCACCTGATCCAGTGAGGCTAAAAGCTGCAGAAGAAGAATGGTGAAACCACAGAAATCTGTCCAGCCCTTCCTTCTGCCTGGAAGTGACCCTTGTGGAATAGGAAATAACATGCCCTGGTCCCATTTTCAGGGTCCCCATTTTGAACATCTTCCCAATACACTACAATGGCTCCTCATCTAATATGATTAATATCAGAATGTGTAATGATCAGAACATTACACATTAGACCACAGCATCTGTCAGTCTCGCTAAGTGTGTAAGAGCAATGCAAAATGCGAAGGTTCTTTCAAACAACAAATAATTGGTTATATGAGCCAGATACATTTCTGGAGAAAAGGTTTAAGTCAGAATGGGTCTTGAATTTCAAGAAATCACAGCTTATTTTTTATCCCTGACTTGCTTAATGTTTCCAGGTTTTATTTGTTAACCAGTAGAAGTGTGATGGCACCAGTACTAATTTCAGATTTGTGTAAACCTCCCCCCATTTCTCCTTTGAAAATATTCCAAACACATGAAGTTATTCAGAACATTCATTTTAAGCAGTTTGATGTTCACATTGGTATAAAAGGTTAGCATGAATGCTCCTGTTTGTTTTCATGAAACTAATGGCTGATTTATGACCAAATGGACAATGCAGTTTGAGTACAGTTTCTTTGTACCTCGACTGAGTTCTCTTCAACTTGATATAAATTCAAGATCTCCCATATTTAAGTGACATCTTAATATTAAAAAAAAATCAACAAAAACACTGAGAGCAAACAGCTTTTTTACTTCTTTCTCTGTCTTTCTGTACAGCACAATGCCCAGCAAATGAAGTCCGTACGGATTCATCTGGAGTAATTCTCAGTCCAGGTTACCCAGGCAACTATCCCAATTCACAAACCTGTGCCTGAACTCTTAAAGTTGAACCAGGTTACAACATTTCTGTCTTTGTAGAAACATTTCAAAGTGAAAAACAGTTTGATGAGCTTGAAATATTTGATGGTAAGAATAAATATTTGTTATTGATTCAGTTATCAATACTGGGAGAACAAATGCCAGTGTATCAGACAATGGTATATTTTAGTGCTGAGCAGAAATGGCAAGGCTATTTCCAAACATTTTTGCCCTTGTGAAACATGTTCTCTACACCATTCAGTCAGAGTTTTGTAATCCTTTCCTAAAACGTGTGAAACAGTTCATACAGAGGAAAGGGAATATGGCTCTGTAATGAGGACAACTGGGCTGATGTCTCTTATTCCAATCAATTATACATCATTGAGTAATTGGGTTGAATGTGGATAGAGATACGCTTTTAGATATGCATTCAGATGCCCATAACATCAAAGCTGTATGGATGAATAGGAAATTGTCAATCTGTTCTTCATTGCTTTCATTGGAATGTGATTCTTTGTCTACCTTATTCTCCAATTAGTCTCGTAGTATGTGATTACAGCTGGATTAGAACAAAAGCCTGGTTGAGTGGTGTTAACATGCTGGCACAATGTGGCCAGACAGAGCATTGACTGGGAAATGATGATGTGCCCCTACAGTCAGATGGAGAACAACTGAAATTTGTGTTATCTGAGGGACATCATCATATTACTAAATATTACTATCTGGCAACTAAATCTTACTATCTGGAAAAAGGAAGCCCTATGACACTGAAGCACGGGCACTGAAGCAGCAGTGTATCAGGGTTGCAAGCAGGTCTGGGAAAATGTGAAAAGACAAAGCTGGGGGTTTTCAACATCTTTTCATACCATCAATAGACCCTCTTTTCATATCAAAAGACAAGCATTAAAAAGAATTGGTCACAGCACCAGTGTATTTTTGATGAGTGAAATTAAATACTGATATCTGGCTATAAAGACAACAAAGAATTCCATGGTAAAGTACTTACATACCTATCGTTAATGATAGACATATTTGATTTAAGCCCTAGCTGCTGTGTATCCCCCCCCCCCCTTCCTTTTCATTGACTAAAAGCAGGGCTTTTTTCTGGGGGAACATGATGGAATTGAGTTTCGGAACCTCTTCACCAAAATTGTTTTAAAAATGTTGAAAAGTTCATGAGTTCTCAGTATAAAGATTGAAAACTTCATTTCCCTCTTGAGAGTTCCAGCATCTCTTATTCAAAAAAATGAAAAAAGAAAAAAGCCTTGACTAAAAGTAAAACAAACTCATTCTTTTCTATGGTAGTATCAAGGGTCTACTGTTGACTTCCCAGCCATAGAAACAAGGCTGAGAAAAAAATTGCCACTCTAAAACCAACAGAAAGTTCAATGACACAAAATGTTGTTAAAGCAAAGATAAGGAAAAGACTTCTCTGCTCAAAATTTATTTGGTATTTTATTTATGATAATATTCCTTATAATACTTCAGCTATACTTAGTGTGTGGTATAGTTTTTGTCCTCTTTCCTGATAGATATGCAAACTACAGACAATTTAAATGGAATATCCAGAGTTGTTTTTTTGAGTATATTTAAAATAACAAGAAGAAATTAGCACACTGAGGCTCCGGTTACACGGGCAGGAAACTGCGGGAGGGAAGCGTGGATGTTTGCCCCGGGGCAAACTAACACGCAGTTAAGTGATCAGACCTCCTGTGGAGGTACCGTGGAGCTTCCGTGGGTAGGGAGAGGTGCCGATCACAACACGCGGCTGCGCGCAACGAAGAAGCGTGCCGCGCGGCGAACTGGTTTTCTTTTTTTGTGTACACTACGAATGCGCATGCTCCGTTGGGTGTGTGTGCGCATCCACGGAGACTTGGGGAAAAAAACAACCCTTTTTCGCAAGGGGACATGGGCGGGCGCTGGATGCCACCGGAAACGCGATCAGACGCCCGCCCTTGCCCCACAGTTTCCGGAAACTAGTACCTCCGAGGTACTAGTTTTTTGCTGCGCGTTTTCGGCAGGAAGCCTCGGTTGTGCCACGGAAGCGCTACGCTTTCCAGATGTGCTGGTGAGATCGCGCCCGGAAAATCCGCCTGTCTTCCGTATCTCTTGCGTGGCTAATGTTGCGTGTGACCGCAGCCTGAGTAGAATAAAATCACATCCCAGTCCTAAATACATTTACTTCAAAATAATGCCCATTGACTTCAATGGTACATGCCAGATAACTATCACTCCCAAAATGTGGTGTACATAGCAATATAAGCAAAAAAAAGTCATATCTCTAACAGAGACTTATAAAATAACATGAAAGTACAAAGCAAAATTAGAGAAAGGAAACAAAAAGTTGGGATAAGTAACATGTGATCAAATGCTTGATACACGTATTTCACTGTGGCTTTATTTTTCACTGACATGGTTAACATGAGTCTGGGTGATACCATTTCAGGGCGCAAGTTGCAGCTAATAAAGTTGAATGGTCAGTGCTTTCACACACAGAACTAAAAATCAAAAAGAAATGTCACCGAAGTTTGCATTCATTGGGATAAGAATACAAGGTTTGGCAGCTGATAATGTTGCTTTCACTATAATCCACAAAGATCTTCTCTGGCTCAGACTGTATATCTGGTTCAAACCGACATTCTTCTTCTCCCACCCATTACCCCTGCGGTTGCTACTATGACAGGCTGGTGGTGGTAGATGTCTGCTGGCTACTCAATGAATGGATGGCCAGATACATGCAAATTGCCTCACTCTTCTGGCTTCCCTTTATGGCATGTAATGTGTTATTTTGAAAATACCCAGATTACCAAGGTCTACTTTGGTAAATACAAACAGATAGGGGCACACAGAGCACAAAGACAAACTAGAAAATGCAAACAATTAGAAAATTCTTGGAGCAAGGTTTTTCTCCCCAAGCGGTCTTTAGTGTTCCTCATAAATCAGTGGGAACTTTCTGAATTGTGCCTAGGGAATTTGCCCATTCCTAGTATTTCTTCCTGGTATACTGATTTTCTATATGCAGAGATTATTTTTGGTTTGTCTGAAGAAGCATTCAGTAATGTTCCCATCTGAAATCTAAAGTAGTATATCCAGACAGCCACCTCACTGAAAACCAGACCTTTGTCACTGTACAGAAAAGTGGAATTTGAAGGAAATGAAAAGTGTCTCTCTTTCAGGTCATGAAAACAAGATGATACATGTTTTGAATATACTTCCAGTCATTGAATACTCATAAGTACAATTTGACTAATCTTTTATAGCTGTGGAGATTTTCAGCATTTAATGAAAGAATTGGTTAACATTTACTATTTTTATTTTTTCACATTTTCCTAAGGTTCTTCTGGTCAAAGTCCTTTACTGGTTGCTCTGAGTGGAAATCATACAGGACAACTTAATTACACAAGCAAAACCAATCAGTTGCATTTGCGCTGGTCAACTGACCATGCAACTAGTAAGAAAGGATTCAAGATTCGTTACTCAGGTCAGTAGTTAATGATCAGTATTAAATTCTGTTGAAGGTCAGTTCAGAGAATATGTACCAGAAATAAGCACTACAATATATGGATCAGCCTCACATTACCTATTGTATTGCTTATGACTATATAAATGGATTATTGCTTAATAATAGTACTAGTATTGATCAGGCCCGTAGCCAGGAATTTCTAAGTCAGGGGGCATTTACATTTTTCAGGGGGCACTTGGCACTGGCTAATATAAATAATTTAATTATCCAAAGGTGGGAGGCAGAGCTGAGCTCTGAAGATAAAAAGGGAAGGGGGAGGAGAGGAATGGAAACAAAATCATGGGCTCCAAAGCTGAGGGAGGGATTGGGCGGTGCGGCACTTGCTTTGCTGGTTTAGGAATTGGAGGGATGAAGGTGGTCAGGGCTTGCCTTGCTGGCCAGCGAGAAGCAAGCCAGAGCAGCAGCATGGATTGGAGGTGGGGCTTGCCTTGCTGGCCATCTAGAGGTGAGAGAGCAGAGCAGCAGTGTGAGATAATCCGACCCATGGGGCATGACTTGCCAGCCTAAGAGAGGCAAGAGAGAACAGCAGCAGTGTGAGATTGGAGACAAGGCAAGCCTTGCCGGCCAGTGAAAAACAAAAGAGAGCAGTAGCATGGCATTGGACGATGGAGGATGTGGGGCTAGCCTTGCCGAGAAAGAGCAGTGTGGAAATTGGTGGAGGGCATGGGGCTTGCCTTGCTGAGAGAGAGCAGTGGGCAAGAGAGGGCGGCACGAGGCTTGTCGGTGGTGGCAACAAGCAAGATAAATATAATTTAAAATTGGAAGTTGGGGGGCCTTGGTGGTAAGTCGGGGGGCGGGCCCCAAAAAGCCCCACTGTAGTACAGGCCTGGTATTAATTAGCATTACTATTAAGCAATTATCCATGCATTGTATAGCTAATTCTGAAGTGGGACTTCAGCATGCAGACCATTAAATCTCCACACTGTGGTCAGGTACAGAGTAGGGAGATGTTTGTGCAAACTTGGGTCTTCTATCAGGTTTGCATAAAAATCCCTCCAAAGGGAAAAAAAGGGGGAAATTTCAATGTTACTGTGGTGGAGGGAATGTCCCTCAACCTTTCACAGAGGGAGTTGTCCCTGAGAGGTGCAAAATGGGTAGAGTTTAATCCCTCCTCACCCCTGCCCTTTCCCCACTGGGGCTGGGTGCCTCTGCCAGCTGTCTGGTATAGATGCCAACTGCAGCCCTTCCAAGGGTTGCCTTCCATACTGCCACCCACCCCTGCTGCCACATAAGCCAGGTAGGTGTGAATGGAGCTGTGGGGCAGAAAGAGTGGGAGCCCCTGTCCTACAGGCAGATGGAGACAGCAGCACTACAAGCAGGCAGATGGGCAAGGAGAATGGGAGCCTCTGTGGCAAGAAGCAGTCAGGTGGAAGGGGTGGGGCTGCAGGCGGAAAGGGGAGGAATGGGTGAAGCCACCCTTGCTGCTGTATGAGCCAGGCAAGTAGAGATGGCAGCACTGCATGGGGGGAGTTGGGCAATGAGTGGGATGTATCAGCAAGTAGGGGAAGAACGTCTTGTTGGCGCCCCACTTGTCCAGTCATAAATCGGTTGTTTATAATTAAAACTGTGAATCTAAACAAACTTTCAAAATTCAATAAAAATTGATAGGATTTAATTCTAAATTAATATTGACCACACTGTTTGAAAACTGTCTGAATTTGTTGATGATTTTGTACACATTCCTGTACAACGTCTGGTTTGTACAGGCAGTCCAAAGGTAGTTGTTGGCCTTTCATGCAATGTAGTGTGTTGTCCTGATAATCAAAGACTGTACATATGCTTTAACATGTTTATTATTTTGGTACAGAAATCCGTTTGTGAATGACGAGGAATACATTCATTTCTTTCTTTTTTTCATTCACCACAGATAACAATGTAGTTTGTTACTGGCTTGGAAAACCAGTAGTTATGGCTGTTGGTTTTTCAGGACTTCAGAAGCAGCCTTTCCCAGCCCTACCAATGGAAACCTTTTTAGTAGCCAGAGTTTGAACCATATCTGCAGATAATATACTTTATCTCTTGTCCTGTTGTCATGACAGGAGTGTGTGAGGCACATTACTGAACTTTAACCATGCTATTCAAACTAGGAAAATCCACCCACTGACTCTTAGCTGGTAATCCAGGGTGATAGGTAGGTTAACTAGTTGTGCAGTAGACTTGTGGTTCTCAACACACAGCATAGTAGAAATCTTGATGTATGGGAAAGTGAGTCATTGTACATTGCACACTCCCCATCGTTGGCCTTCAGAATACTTTGATAGGACGAACCTGTTTACAGGAATGGACCTGTTTACACAGCATGGCTAAATGAGGGTGAACACTCAGGAATAGACCTGTTTACACAGCATGGCTAAATGAGGGGTCTGTGTCTGTGATCCCTCCCTCCATGTGGCGGAAGGATATTTTGGGCCAAAAATTTGTTTTAAAATTTTGAGTTCATAGTGCATCAGAATGACTTAAAGGAGCAGGAGAAAATATTTTCAGGTTGAAGCAAGGTAACATTTATATGTTGTAGCTTTGATTTTTTTTGAAAGATCAGAAATGTCTGTGACTGTTAACAATTTGTTGAGGAGTTGTATTTGCCAATAATGTTAACTTGGAACTAAAAATTAATGAATGTGCACAGGACAGGGATATATTTAACCTTGTAGTTGGAGAATACATTTCAAGAACAGCTCAGAGTAAACTTTTCTCATGTTTCACTGACAGCATGTTCTGAAAGGCTATATAGTTCTCTCCATGTCCGTAAGTTTTACATCTGATGCAGGAGAGACAGCCAGCATGAGAGAGGAATAACAGCAAGTAGCAGAGTAAGCAAGCGGGCCTGAATCTTAATGAGGGAAGGCAGCAGCATGAAAAATAGGAAAGAAACTAGAGGCTCAAAAAACCTATTGATGCTATGGCAGCTGTGACTGAGCCAGCGGGCTTCCTCACAACTACCAGCCTATTGTAATGATTTACTGCCTCCCCGCCTCTCTCCACTGTTCCTCCAACCATGACTTTGCACAAGGTTTGTCAAATAGCAGATGTCCAACATTATGTAGAGTTCGCTAAACTTTTCTTCTTTTGATGGCTTCTAAAATGGAAGGTTTTGTAGAAAATAATCCTTTCCCTCTCTTCTATCACAAAATACTCACATTGATGTGAGCTTGCTGAGTATGGGCTATGCAATGATCTATGGGGGGAAAAATGAGTATTTACCCATTTATGTTCCACTGATCAACACCAGACCCATTTCTTTCAGTGGATTTATTCACGGCTGTGTGTATCCTGTTAACATTATTGGGAATACATTTCCTCAACAAATTGTTAACAGTCACAGCAAGTACAAAATTCTTGTTAGATGAAGGGTGGAATGTTCGTTCAAGTTTTCCACTCACATGGCTCAGATACTAAAGATAAAAACATGTAGGTAGTGTCTGGTGTAAAATCCCACAAGTCAAAGAGACATGAGCAGGAGTTCCTGTGGACCAAGGTGGGGATTAAGTCCC